TTCATGTTTAATACCTCAAATAAATGTCAATAACCTCTAATTCTAGCTAACTTCAAATATAACCAAAATTTCCATAAACCCTAAAAGAAAACTTAATTCAATATACTTACACTTACCTCTCAAAATCAAATGAGAAATTGAAGAAATGGAGCACCAAGCTTGGAAATCCACTTCCTCTTCTTCTCCTCTTCTTTTCTTTCTTCCCTTATCTCGAGCTTTCTCGAATTTAGCCCCCAAAAATGAGGAAAAAATGGATGTTTATCTCTTAAGTTAATGGATAAATATAGGGTAATTGCGAGTCAAGTCCCCCAATCTTCATACAATATCACATTTAGTCCTCACATCTTCAAAAATAGAAACTAAATCCCTAGATCCCTATATTACACAATTTCTAGCCCTTGAACATTTATAATTACAATTTAAGTCCCATGGAAATTATTTGTTCAACTTAAGTTCTTATTGACTTTGACTAAAAATGAAGGATGTGACGAGTAGCGCTATTGCACCGAGAAATGGATGGGAAGAGCGTGGAGAGTAACATGAGATATATTATCTGGCTGATGATCTCACAGAGGAAGAATGATTGGAACACGTCTGAAACACAATGACGAATCCAAGAATCCTTCTTTGGAATTGCTTCCACCTTGATAGACGGAAGAATCAAATTGGAGAGTGAGATTGAAGAATGATGTGTTTGAATAGCATTCTGATGAACGTTTCAATCAATGATCCGTTGTCATTTATACTAGAGGTGATGCAGTTTCCAAGGTACTAGAATTTAGAAAAATGAAAACAGGAATTGTAGTGGGAAAGACCATCAAATGACTTCTCATTCGAACTGTAATTGTACTGCAAGCAGAAGTTTCTTCTTGAAGCAATATTAATATATTATAGATATAAATTGGAATCCAATGATTTTGATTCCACAGGAAACCATCCTATGGTTCATTGAAATTATCTGGCTGACCATGTTATATTGAAGAAAATTCCTAGACTTCAAAAATGTTGGGGCTGCACCATTTGACGCTAGTGATTTAAACCCATTATTTGTGATGATTTTTTCTTGTAGTGATGAGATTAGATTAGATGGTTTAATATGTTTTGTATGGGATAATTTTGGAGCTAGAAAATAGTTGACTTTTTGTTGGAAGTCAGTAGTATGGAAGATTTTGATAGAAAGTAATTTAGTAGACAAAGTGGGTAGGAGAAATGAACTTTATTAGAATGATAATGCTTTAGTTTTGGTTTGCTTTGGCTTACAATGGCTTTTTCTATTTTACAAATGAGAGACTCATGCCCTATTTATAGACCATAGCTTACATCAATTTGTGGTTAATATGATTTCTTCTAGATAATTCTACATGTGCCTCAAATACAAACCACACAAACTTTTTTGGTGCGCAAGTTTCTCTAGTGAATTCTAGATAATTCTGATTTTTTATTATTCTTGCTTGCGAAGTAATTCTAGGATATTCTTGTCAAGCAATTCTAGGATATTCTAGAAAATTCTTAAAATATGCATCAGCCATCAATAATTGATTACTTACTTCCAGTCACCATTTATTCTTTAAAAGTGCTGGAGTTGATATTTGTAAGCATAATAAACAAACAGCATCTCGTTTTCGAAATCCTAATGGGAAAAACCGGATATATTTATTTCACCTTGCATCATTATTCATTAAAAAAAAAGTTAGAAAATGAGAACGTTGGTTGCACGCATAGTGCTTATTCATAACTATATAATATATTATGGACGAATAATTGAGGTTTATGGAGATCTAATGCTGTAGAGAAATTTTCCTATATTTGACCATTTCAGCTGCGGCATTTAAAGTATTAGAATAAATTCGAAAGTGTTTAGATTCATTAATTAAACAATTCGGTTGCCATAATGCATTTTAAAACACTCGCATACCTAGACGTTCGATAATACACTTCTTGAGACAAACAAAAATAAAGAAATAAAAGGACATAAATTTAACAATAAATGGACTGAATGGGTTACTGATGTTGTCACATGGTACAGAATTAGTGAATTATTAATGATGCGCTGAGGTAGCATTTATGTTTGAACATTTGCTCGGTAATAGAAGATTTGTCCTTGAATCTTGTGCCGTTTTCTCATCTAACTCATTATAATCCTCACATACGCTAAATGCGTCTTGTTAGAATGGGTTGTGCTAATTTGAGTATTTGATCGAAAAAATACTGCTGCAGTAGTATTGAGGATTTGATTTATATTTCATCTCAAATTCTCCATTATTTATTTTACCAATTGTGTTGAGATTTCACCTTATATTAAACTCCTCATGTATTAATTCTCCTAGTATGTTAGGGATTCTTAGATATAAATATGTGGTGTATGATGGATCCAGCTAGTGGCGAGTTAGGGCAGCCGCCCTAGCTGGAAGCCATTTTTTTTGGCTGACAGTAGTTTAAGATTTTAGGTTATATTACTGATAATTCTTTTTTCTATCCAAATTCTCCTTGTAGTTGAAGTGGTTAGAGCTTGTTTTCACATTTTGCTGGTCCTGGTTTCGATTCTCTTCACACCCAATTCATTGTGCAATTTTTTTAGTTTACAACAACTACCAAAATCAATGCAATAGGAAGGAGTTGGATGAGATTTGAATCTTGAACCTCTATTATAATTATTGAAAGTCTGACCACTGTGGCACTTATTTTTTTTGGCACTTAATTCAACAAAATAATATATATTACATTTATTAGGCTTAATAAAATTATAAAGATTCAAAATTATGCTCTTCCTTTAAATTATACGATATTTGACAAAAATGTCATTTGGTGAATATATGATTTATTCTTATAACACAATTATATATGTTCAATATGAACAAAATAATTGTTATATTTAAATTTTAGGCCTTGTTTTATTATTATTATTATTATTTTTTTCAAAATACATTTTGATCTATCTTATTTTTAACAATAAATTTTTCAATAAAATGATATTACACGCAAATTCAAAACTTTTTTCTTATTTTTTTTACCTCACATTCTCCATGAAATCATTATTTCAAAATGTATTTTTTGTTAAAAAAAAACACCATATCAAACGGGCTCTTAATACTTTATTGCGGCTGATAGTCGACAATCAACGATCGCCTGTGCTGACTCAAAATTCTAGATTCGCCACTGTGTACAATATATATTGGAATTGATCAATTGTCCAATTAATTATTGTTCCAAAGAGATCTATTGTAACTCCATAATATTGATTATAATAAATTCTCCACCTTGCTTGTGGTTTTCCTGGATTTAGGTTTTCATGTAAATCTTACTTTCTTTGTAATCCATTCTTTATTACTAGGCTAGATTCTTAACAAGTGGTATCAGAATAGGTTTGCTCCGAACGTGCGTTGTTGTTTTGCCTAAGATTAATGGCGTATGGTCCTGCGGATCAAATTTTGAAACTGCCAACATGTGGCTAAGCGGTTGGCAAGCAAGCAGAATCAATGATGGAAACCTTTGAGAATGACGGAGGTTGGGGCATGCGTTATGCTGTTTTGCCTACTACATGAATATTTGTTTCGCAAAGGCATGACAAAAGCATTGTTATGGAAATTGAATAGCAAGGACCAGAATATTAGAGAGAGCCATTCAAGAAGTAAATGGGTTGCGAGCAACAATAACATAATTAAGTTGCTTCCAACTGCCCAAGTTATTTTCAAGTCGAGCCAACAAACTGAAATGCTTATTATAATTCCACTCATTGGCTGAGGCCTATGAAATTTAATTCAAACTATTTTAACATCATTGCTAAGGATTTGTCAAAAACCCAACAGTAACCAAAGATATTTTATCTGGTTAGTGTTCTCACAGAGAAGGGAATAATTGGAACTTATAAAAAACACAATGGATAATCCAAGAATTCTGCTTTTAAATTGCTTGCATGCTGGAAAGATGGAAGAATCTGTTATTGTTGAAAGGCCATCAAATGACTTCTTCCACGAATTGCTAATGTACAGAAAACAGCAATTCCAACTTTAAGCAAAATTATATATATAAAAATAGGAAATTAATAAGATTTATTCCGCAGGAAACCATGTTGGAATTTTGCTGGAAATTTTGTATTATTTGGTGAATGGAAAATTAAGCCAAATTTAAATCACTTAAATACGTGAATTATTGAAAAAGTACGTAGAATATTATGGAATATTCTAGAAATTATTGGGTTGAAAAGGTGTCTTTCAATATGAAAGATTATGACTTTTGGCATTATCATTTTTCAAGAGACGTTTCTTTTTAAATATAGAGACTAATTCTAATAGTCGTGTCTCTTCCATAGACTGTGTCTTTTGAGATAAACATTTTCAACATCTATATTTTGACCCCATATGTTTGGATATAATTATTCAAGATTTTTAATTCATTCCATAATTCCATATTATTCATTTCATGTTAAGTTACTTAAAATACTTTGTAGAAATAATTGACTTGTATCAAAGCCATCTTTATGGTAAAAAGGGAATTCCGTTCGAGTTCGCTGGTCGAAGTCATTTGGAGTGCTCCTATGGCTTAACGTGGTCATTGTATTTTGGGAGATGATTGCTGAAAAATTGTTAGCATCAATGCGGGGAAAATTCATCTTAAGGACCAAGTGTCAAACACTTGCTTCGACCAAAAATTCATCACCTGCATCTTTCTTCCTTCGTTTTCTGATTTCTCTTAATTATGGTTTAATTTCAGAAACTGATTAACATTATTTACATGTTTGTATTTTGGGAGATGATTACTGGAAAACCGTTAGCACTGATGCGGGGCAAATTCATCTTAAGGACCAAGTGTCAAACACTTGTCTCAACCAAAAATTCATCACCTGCATCTTTTTTCCTTCATTTTCTGATTTCTCTTAAGTATGGTTTGATTTCAGAAACTGATTAACATTATTTACATGTTTGTTCTGCGAGGTTTGATTCAAAGAATAACTTGCTTTCGTTAAAGAATCAAAAGAGATGAATCTATATTCATGCATTCGGATTCGGTAATTGTTATTGTTTTATTTCTCAAATTCTATTTCGGTAAGTCGAAATTACGTTTCAATTTCACGCAAATAAACGGTATGCTGTTGTGAATATAATATGCATATAATCGGTGTAATCTCCAACAATCTTAAAATGAATTTTGTATTCGTTATGCATTGTATATTCCGTTTCGAATCTGCCAACCGTACTACTCACTTAAGGAAACAAATTTGGTTCTGTTCAAAAACTGTAATTTGAAATTCTGCTATATTCGTATTTTGTATCATTAAACGAAAATAAAATCTGAACCGATGCTTGCATGAGAACCCAATATTATGTGAAAAATACGAATACAGACGTTTGAAGATAACCGTAATTATAGAGTTTCCTTCATCTTTGCATATGTATTTTTCCTTAAGCATGTGCTGATTTCTGCATGCATCTAATAATATATTTCATATAAATATTTGGAAAGACAGATGACATGTGTCTCTAAATATTTGGAAATATAGATGGCATGTGTGACTATAATTAAATGCATATGTTGCTATAATTTGAACCAATGGATTTACGCTTGACATTCTGTCATACTTTGAACATTCTAGTTTGTGAAATTTTTCTGCTAACCTCAAAAAATATGATGTTT